GAAGATAATGACCGAGATAATACCGAGAGAGAGAGTTGGAAAATCACTAAATAACCAAGTCTCGCACGATAATTATGACAGATAATGCAAATTACAGAGTCCAACAGCCTTGTTTCCCAGCGGTCGTCGGCCGGTGCTCCTCGCAACATTGCCAGCTCATTTGCTTTGCCTCACAAGTGATTGATTTTTTGCGCGCGTAGATGTTCAAGGTGCAATTTCTGATGCAGTTTTATCTTCATTAATGAAAAATGGTGGTTTAGGTAATATTGCGGAGGTCAAGTGAACATGATGGGGTAATTAGTGGGTATGGAGCCGGACACTGTGGCATCATTGTGTGTAGTGGGTCGAGGTGTAGTGGGGCGAGGTGTAGTGGGTCGAGGTGTAGTGGCTGGCGGGGCTGTTGTACGGCAGTGGTGACTTTTATGTGAGGTGTGCACACAGCCACAGCACCACCACAGGTACTCACACAGCCACAGCAGCACCACAGGTACTCACACAGCCACAGCACCACCACAGGTACTCACACAGCCACAGCAGCACCACAGGTACTCACACAGCCCAGCACCACCACCACAGGTACTCACACAGCCACAGCACCACCACCACAGGTACTCACACAGCCACAGCACCACCACCACAGGTACTCACACAGCCACAGCACCACCACCACAGGTACTCACACAGCCACAGCACCACCACCACAGGTACTCACACAGCCACAGCACCACCACCACAGGTACTCACACAGCCACAGCACCACCACCACAGGTACTCACACAGCCACAGCAGCACAACAGGTACTCACACAGCCACAGCACCACCACAGGTACTCACACAGCCACAGCACCACCACAGGTACTCACACAGCCACAGCAGCACCACAGGTACTCACACAGCCACAGCACCACCACAGGTACTCACACAGCCACACCACCACCACAGGTACTCACACAGCCACAGCACCACCACAGGTACTCACACAGCCACAGCACCACCACAGGTACTCACACAGCCACAGCAGCACCACAGGTACTCACACAGCCACAGCACCACCACAGGTACTCACACAGCCACACCACCACCACAGGTACTCACACAGCCACAGCACCACCACCACAGGTACTCACACAGCCACAGCACCACCACCACAGGTTCTCACACAGCCACAGCAGCACCACAGGTACTCACACAGCCACAGCACCACCACCACAGGTACTCACACAGCCACAGCACCACCACAGGTACTCACACAGCCACACCACCACCACAGGTTCTCACACAGCCAACACAGCCGGGGGTAGAGGACACATCAGACAAGAAGAGATACATGACACATCACACAGGTGTACAATCCTCTTGCCTGCCACGACACAATGATACGAAGCAACCTGTTATATTTTTCATCAACAATCTCAATATGACTCAATATGCAAAGTGTGCGAAAGCAATATTTACTATATTATACTCCTTAAGGGCGACAAATTAACACCTTAAAGTTTCCCTCAAGATGCTGTTTATCTCTGTATGATAATCTCTCTCTTATCATGTTTAAGCTTCCACACTCTCCTGCTTGATGGGGTTCTGGGAGTTCTTCTACTGCCCAAGCCCGGCCCGAGGCCCACATACCCACCACAGCCTGGTTGGTCCGGCACTTCTTTTATAAAACAATCTAGTTTTCTCTTGAAGGTGTCCATGGTTGTTCCGGCAATATTTCTTATGCTCGGTAGGAGAATGTTGAACAACCGCGGACCTCTGATATTCATAGTGTTCTCTGATTGTGCCTATGGCACCTCTGCTCTTCACTGGTTCTATTCTGCATTTTCTTCCATATCGTTCACTCCAGTATGTTGTTATTTTACTGTGTAGATTTGGGACCTGGCCCTCCAGTATTTTCCCACGTGTATATTATTTGATACCTCTCTCTTCTCCTTTCCACTTGAGCTGGACGGTAGAACGACGGTCTCGCTTCATGCAGGTCGGCGTTCAATTCCCTACCGTCCACATTGTTGGGCACCATTCCTTCCCCCCGACACATCCCAAAATCCTTATCCTGATTCCTTCCCAGTGTTATATAGTCGTAATGGCTTGGCGCTTCTCCTAATAACTCCTCTTTTCTCCTTTCTAGTGAGTACATTTGGAAGGCTTTGAGACGATCCCAATAATTTAGGTGCTTTATCGCGTCTATGCGTGCCGTATATGTTCCCTGTATTCCCTCTATTTCAGCAATCTCTCCTGCTGTCCCTAGGAACAAGTGCCAAGATTCACTCCTCTGACAGCCAACACATTTGTACTCGCTTAGTTGCATGTGCGGGGGCTGAGCTCAGGCTCATGGGTCCCGCCTCTCAGCTGTTAACCAACTGGCATTGTAACGCGCGCGCACACCCACACAGACACACACACACACACACAGACACACACACACACACACACACACACACACACACACACACACACACACACACACACACACACACACACACACACACACATCCACACCCACCCACACCCACACAGACAGACACACACACACACACACACACACACACACACACACACACACAGACACACACCTCGAGGGGCCTCGTAGCCTGGTGGATAGCGCGCAGGACTCGTAATTCTGAGGGGCGGGTTCGATTCCCGCACGAGGCAGAAACAAATGGGCAAAGTTTCTTTCACCCTGAATGCCCCTGTTACCTAGCAGTAAATAGGTACCTGGGAGTTAGTCAGCTGTCACGGGTTGCTTCCTGGGGTGTGTGTGTGTGTGTGGTGTGGGGAAAAAAAAAAAAGTAGTTAGTAAACAGTTGATTGACAGTTGAGAGGCGGGCCGAAAGAGCAAAGCTCAACCCCCGTAAAAACACAACTAGTAAACACACCCACACACACACACACACACACACACACACACACACACACACACACACACACCACACACACACACACACACACACACACACACACACACACACACACACACACAGGTCCCGTGGAACAGCACCAGCCACACACACGCACGCAGACCCGCGCTAGGATTATTACCCAGAACATCCCCAAATTTTGACTGATTAGATATGCCACTAAACTCCCCAGGCGAGGCGCTGAGCGTGTTGGGGCCGTGTCAGCCGGCCATGCAATGTCAACCCAAACATGCGCACACACCAATTGAATGGAATATTTATTTGGAACACTACACGTGGTAGGAGACAGGTGGCGGCCACCCCTTCCATTCTCTGGAGAAGTTCCTTCCCACCGCCCCCGTCCCAGCTCCTTATCCTGGCCCCTTCCAAGTGTATTATAGTCGTAATGGCTTGACGATTTCTCCTTTCCTTCCTCTTAAGTCACTTACACAACTTTCTCATTGTTTTAAGTAAACTTGGACTTGTTTAACCAAAGGATTTGGTAAGCTGGGGAGGACGAGTGAGGACATGAAGATGGAGGTACTAGGATCTTAGATAGTGAGAAATAGAATGGGGGAGCCTGGACAGAACTAGGGTGAGGGACCCCTAGCCAGAACTAGGGTGAGGGACCCTAGCAAGAACTAGGGTTAGGGACCCTAGCCAGAACTAGGGTGAGACACCCTAGCCAGGACTAGGGTGAGGGACCCCTAGCCAGAACTAGGGTGAGGGCCCCTAGCCAGAACTAGGTTGAGGGACCCTAGCCAGAACTAGGGTGAGACACCCTAGCCAGGACTAGGGTGAGGGACCCCTAGCCAGAACTAGGTTGAGGGACCCTAGCCAGAACTAGGGTGAGGGACCCTAGCCAGAACTAGGGTGAGGAACCCTAACCAGAACTAGGGTGAGACACCCTAGCCAGAACTAGGGTGAGGGACCCTAGGGTGCAAAGGGTCAGCAGGGAGCCGGGAAGGAGCAGTTGCCGCGTCGTGCAAAATATCAAGGATTAGAAGGAAGATAATGACCGAGATAATACCGAGAGAGAGAGTTGGAAAATCACTAAATAACCAAGTCTCGCACGATAATTATGACAGATAATGCAAATTACAGAGTCCAACAGCCTTGTTTCCCAGCGGTCGTCGGCCGGTGCTCCTCCCAACATTGCCAGATCATTTGCTTTGCCTCACAAGTGATTGATTTTTTGCGCGCGAAGATGTTCAAGGTGCAATTTCTGATGCAGTTTTATCTTCATTAATGAAAAATGGTGGTTTAGGTAATATTGCGGAGGTCAAGTGAACATGATGGGGTAATTAGTGGGTATGGAGCCGGACACTGTGGCATCATTGTGTGTAGTGGGTCGAGGTGTAGTGGGTCGAGGTGTAGTGGGTCGAGGTGTAGTGGCTGGCGGGGCTGTTGTACGGCAGTGGTGACTTTTATGTGAGGTGTGCACACAGCCACAGCACCTCCACAGGTGTGCACACAGCCACAGCACCTCCACAGGTGTGCACACAGCCACAGCACCACCACAGGTGTGCACACAGCCACAGCACCACCACAGGTGTGCACACACAGCCACAGCACCACCACCACAGGTACTCACACAGCCACAGCACCACCACAGGTACTCACACAGCCACAGCACCACCACCACAGGTACTCACACAGCCACAGCACCACCACAGGTACTCACACAGCCACAGCACCACCACAGGTGTGCACACAGCCACAGCACCACCACAGGCGTACACACACCACCACAGGTACTCACACAGCCACAGCACCACCACCACAGGTACTCACACACAGCCACAGCACCACCACAGGCGTACACACACCACCACAGGTACTCACACACAGCCACAGCACCACCACAGGTACTCACACAGCCACAGCACCACAGACGAGGACCGGAGCCCACCTTACCTGGGGGGGGGGGGGGGGTGAGAGAGGAAGCCCTCCGTTACCACACAACAATTATGCACCATCACCTGTGAATTACTAAAGCCCTAAATCCCAAGGAAACTAATAACCAATAATTAGGACAATACCGAGGCGCTGAGGTAATCTTATACCCAACATTTCATAGAGATTACAGCAGAACATTTGATACAGGTTACAGCAGAACATTTGACACAGGTTACAGCAGAACATTTGACACAGGTTACAGCAGAACATTTGATACAGGTTACAGCAGAACATTTGACACAGGTTACAGCAGAACATTTGACACAGGTTACAGCAGAACATTTGATACAGGTTACAGCAAAACATTTGACACAGGTTACAGCAGAACATTTGACACAGGTTACAGCAGAACATTTGATACAGGTTACAGCAGAACATTTGATACAGGTTACAGGAGAGCATTTGATACAGGTTACAGCAGAACATTTGATACAGGTTAAAGGAGAACATTTGATACAGGTTACAGGAGAACATTTGATACAGGTTACAGGAGAACACTTGATACAGGTTACAGCAGAACATTTGATACAGGTTACAGGAGAACATTTGATACAGGTTACAGCAGAACATTTGATACAGGTTACAGGAGAACATTTGATACAGGTTACAGCAGAACATTTGATACAGGTTACAGGAGAACATTTGATACAGGTTACAGCAGAACATTTGATACAGGTTACAGGAGAACATTTGATACAGGTTACAGCAGAACATTTGATACAGGTTACAGCAGAACATTTGATACAGGTTACAGCAGAACCTTGGCTATTGGAGAGTCAGCTGTCCAATAGCGACGTCAGTCAGACCCTCAGCCTTAAAGCATGTAAGCCATGCAACCCGTTCTCGCACTTGCTTACAGTCAATATTGGCTTATTTAATAAGTGGATATGTGACATACTAATTGATTGTGAATATTTTAGTGCACCTTGAAAAGCTTCATAGAAAACACCGACCTCACCTAACCTTCTTAGTATGTTAAGATAAGCATTTTATTGCTTCGTAATTACAGTTATTACTTAACCTATTATAGGTATAGGTTAAGTAATAATTGTAATTACGAAGCAGTAAGATGCTTATCTTAACATACTAAGAAGGTTAGGTAAGGTCGGTGTTTTCTATGAAGCTTTTCAAGGTAAACTAGTATGTTTAGTATGTCACATATGCACGTATTTAATAAGTCAATATTGACTATACGAAAGTGCGAGAACGGGTTGCTCCTCCCACCGTTGACCCCAGCGAACAGTGGCTGTTCCTTCACCTGTTTAACGCCAACAGTTGTCTGTGACCCTCACACGCCAAGTTATAACGCTGCAAGACTAACAAGAAACTCTAGGTACAAGCGTAAACAGAGAACGACTTTCAACACCCCACAAAAACAGAGACAAAACTATCAGTAATGCCTGTGAAAATCCACAGTTTCCAGACACAGACAATATATTCATTTCCTCTTTGTTCCAACGTGCAATAATTATTAATTTTATGCCCCACATAACAACAGAATTGGCTCTAATGTGTGACCGTTGGTTTCCTGGTGCGGCCTCATACAGGGTTCAACTCCCTTCACTGTGAAATAGAGGGTTCAGTTCCTGAACCAATTATGTGCCTCTGGAACCCTTTACACCACCGCCCCCCCCCCCCTACGGGATGGGTATGGGGTGAATAATAAAGGAATTGAATTTCGGTTCTCGCTCACGTCACCGAATATGGTTAAAGCGAATAATGTTTGCAAAAAAAAAAGGTCCCTGTTGTGGAAAGTCTTATGTATAAATAGAATCTTGAAAAAAAGCTCTCATATTTGTCAAGAGTGTCTGCGTGCTTCGCTACGATCGACGGAGCGGATCTTTGACTACTGACTATCATTAGACTACTTAACACGTTATTTGTGAGGCTATCCTCAACTGTTTATGTTCCTTGTACTTCACACGCACTCGCTATCCTACATGTACTTGTTCCACGCACTCGCTATCCTACATGTACTTGCTCCACGCATTCGCTATCCTACATGTACTTGCTCCACGCACTCGCTATCCTACATGTACTTGCTCCACGCACTCGCTATCCTACACGTACTTGCTCCACGCACTCGCTATCCTACATGTACTTGCTCCACGCACTCGCTATCCTACATGTACTTGCTCCACGCACTCGCTATCCTACACGTACTTGCTCCACGCACTCGCTATCCTACACGTACTTACTCTACACACTCGCTATCCTACACTGAAAATTTTTCAGATGTTTCTCTAGGATCGTGTACATCTTCGGCTTGTGTGTCCCCCTGGTTCTAGACTCTCTTATTTCGAATAGTCTTCGCGTCTACACCCCGGGAGTATTTTGTAGGTCGTGATTATATCCCCCTGTGCTTTGCCCTGTTTCAGCCACATGAGTTCCAATTAATAAATCTCAACTTGTTGCTCTTGTCCCTCATTCCCGGAACCCATCTTTTGTTTGTTGCTTGGTTAAGCGAGAACACCACCTAAGTCTTCCATAAGTTTAGTGCAGTCGCCCTCGGGGGGAGGGAGAGGGAGAGGGAGAGGGAGGGAGAGGGGGAGAGAGAGAGAGAGAGAGAGAGAGAGAGAGAGAGAGAGAGAGAGAGAGAGAGAGAGAGAGAGAGAGAGAGAGAAGAGAGAGAGAGAGATTGAGACAGAGAGAGAACGAGAAGGAAGGAACTATCAGGAGAAAGCGCCAAGCCATTACGACTATATATCACTGGGAAGGAGTCAAGATAAGGGTTTGGGATGGGACGGAGGGAAGGAATAGTGCACAACCACTTAGACGGTCGGGGATTGAACGCCGACCTGCATGAAGCGAGACCGTCGCTCTACCGTCCACCCCAAGTAGTTGGACGAACGAGAGAGAAAGTGAGAAGGAGAAACATTTAAAATCCTTTCAAAATTGTCAGACGACCATCGCTAGTGGAGCTGAACTTAAGATGATCTCACACGCTTGTTCCTTAAGTCCCGATGGGTTTAAGACTAAAGTTTTGGTGACATTTGAAAACACAGCTACCAAAGCGGGCCCTTGTTTCGCTAATACCACCTGGCCGACGGTACGACCAAACTGGTAGCCGTGTGTACCTGGCCAGGTCGTTCGGATTAACGTAACTGCCCGTACGGATGAGGGCAGGAATGTCCCAGTGGCCACTTCCCAAGGGAAGAGACGAAGGTAATTAGTTTAAAAGATCTTTTTTTATTAGTCATTTGCTCGGGGAAGTAATGTTTGAGTTTTCGGCCTCTCTCAAAAGTGCCATTATGAGTTGTTTAGAGAGGCTCAGCTCGATGATTATGGGTGTGTGGTATGGCTCTGGCATTTGTGCCTTCATTTACTGCCAAACAAACCTATAACCGGGGATCGAACCCTGGTGCCAGACCATAGTCAGACCTCCCTGGCCTGGCACACACACCCGCCACCTCCAGCACCACTCCAGGAATTGAAATAAGTTTATTGAGTTAAAATACACTCAAAAGGATGAGGGCGCCTGACAGCTGGGTGGACAGCGCTTTGGATTCGTAGTTCTAAGGTTCCGGGTTCGATCCCCGGTGGAGGTGGAGACAAATGGGCAAAATGTTTCTTTCACCCTATGCTCCTGTTACCTAGCAGTAAATAGGTACCTGGGAGTTAGACAGCTGCTACGGGCTGCTTCCTGGGGGATGTGTAACAAGGATGCACACAAACATAGATCACATTCATGCCAAACATCAACCACCTACGGGCTATTCATGCCCGTGCCACCTCTTGAGGTGGCTTAATCTTTATCAATTAATCTATCAGTAAGCGCATAGGAAGGTGAACTAGCGCATAGTTTAAAGCTGCCGCCCAGTTGGGTGGGTGTGGAGCACATGACTGTAAAGCTGCCGCCCAGTTGGGTGGGTGTGGAGCACATGACTGTAAAGCTGCCGCCCAGTTGGGTGGGTGTGGAGCACATGACTGTAAAGCTGCCGCCCAGTTGGGTGGGTGTGGAGCACATGACTGTAAAACTGCCGCCCAGTTGGGTGGGTGTGGAGCACATGACTGTAAAGCTGCCGCCCAGTTGGGTGGGTGTGTAGCAAGACTAGTAACTGTGTAACTCACCATAGATGTAAAAAGCCTTGTATAGTGACTGCTGTGAGCCTCTTATTGAATCACTTGTGATATAAAAACATTATTAATATGTATATGTATATGTGTACATGGATGTACATATATATATATATATATATATATATATATATATATATATATATATATATATATATATATATATATATATATATAAATACACCTCATTTCATATTTATGCCATTTCATAGAAATATGAAATGAGGTGAACGTTTCGGCTTTGTTAAAGCCTTTGTCAACACCAGACTGACTGACTGAGGGAATATATATATATATATATATATATATATATATATATATATATATATATATATATATATATATATTATTACTTGCTTAACTAAACGAACTAATGGGTTAAGTTCCTGAACCCATTTTGTGCCTCTGTAACCCATTCCCCACCGCCCACGAGATGGGTATGGGGTGCATAATAACAAAGAAACAAAGAATCATCAGGATGAACCAAAGCCAGCACCATCATTAATATAAATATGGACAACGGTAAACACTGTCTCATCAACCAATACATCAACATAGAGTGGCCACAACTTTATGAATGAAGGTGGGCGTGGCCTTGCAAACCCACGTGGTCGCGTAGTGCAAGACTGGGTACTACGGCGGCCCGCGGGCTCCACACACTTTCCCTCCACCTGGGAATTACAACCTTAGGACCCAAGCACGAAGGGTCGAAAGTTCCTGGGCTTGCTGAAGTGTTTTACGCCTCAATGGAGACCATAATAGTCCTGCCTGATGGGGCCCTTGAGTTTATTTGACTGCTGAATTGTTTGTAAGTTTGCCACTCGATGTGAATGACGTATTGTGCCAGCGCAGCTTTAAAATAGAAATCATGTCGTAAGGTTAAAAAACAATTATACAGTCCGTTCACACGTGTTCATTTCCCTGTAAACCTTAGTTTACAGTGGGTGTTGTGTGGGAGTCTTGGCTTACACCTTGAGTAAGTCAAGGTGTAACTTACACCTTGGTCCTTACACCTTGAGTATGCTCATACTCAAGCCATATGAAAAGGTTTTCAAGCCTTTCCATATCGCTTGAGGAGTATGTGCTTCATATCGTTATAAAATACAGCTATGACAATCATTCTTAGTCCCAAAAACTTCCAAAACATTGAATCTACTTTAAGAATTATGTCTTCCCAGTGCTAAAAACAGCAAACGGTATGCTAAGCATGCAATTCAGACAGCCCGAGTCCCTCACTAGAGATATTGCCAAGAAAAAGCTGAGTGGGCTACTATATGAGGAAACAGGAATACCAAATCGTGGCAAAATCGATAGTTTGCTGCCTCGAAGAATTGTTATCTGCTCGTGTGAACTATGTTGTTAGGTCTTCCCCCAGGACACTTCCCGCCAAACACACACCGAAACTACGACGTTGGTACAACGTTCGAACAAGTTTTAACACCTAACCAGTTATAACAACCAATATAGCAAGTTGTAACAACGTTCTAATACGTCATAAACACGTTAAGTCAAGATGTAACAACTATATTACAAGTTCTAACAAGCGGAAAAAAAGAGACAGTTTCGGTTTGATTCAGGGATGTTTCCTGACATGAATCCTCATGTTTTTCAACCGTGTGAAACTTTACTCCTTTTGACCAAAACATTGTTTAACTCCTTTACATTTTGATATTTTTTTTTTATTATTATTAATTTCTACCACAGACGTGGCCAG